ATTTATGTCACTAATTGTGTCAAATATAACATTAATTTGGGCGCCAATTATGCCTTTGATGTGCACCTACTCATTGAAACCCTCATATATAAAGATGATATCCAGGCAGAGATCATTGATATACTGACCAACAGAATTGTACTGGTCACTTCTATGATCCTGGCCGCTTATTATAGTGTTTATGGCTATTTTCTGTACTATGGGTTCACTTCATTCATATTTATTATACTCATTATATCTGCGGTTATAATAGTGTTGTCAGTTGTGAAGTATATACTAATGTGCAAAATCATTAAGTTTCGTGTCCATAATATCAATAAATATTTGTTTGACATCAACTTCTACTTCAATGACCAGGACACTACTAATGATCTGAGAGTTATCACCAATTGGTATGAATTTTAATAAAATATTATTTTAACAATTTAATTAATTTTCTTATAACAAAAATTACTAACTTACTACATTACAATTCTAATAACTTCATGATAAGTTTATACTACTGTATTATAACCAGTATACATTTTATCCCACTTAACAGGTACCCAAAGCTGTATACATCAGTCAAAGAATTTGACAAATTTAACAAAATATTCATCAAAATGCTTTTTATACTAAATTGCTATGCCATAGCAAACAGTATTTATCTCATAATAGTTGTCAAACAGCACTTAACTATTCACATATTTATATACGTGTTGTCTATCCTATTGACACCGATATCGCTATCGGTGCTGATATTTGGTAACAATTTGGACGCCAAAACTGTGGGCTATATTGAGGAGTATATGACACAAAGCGATTCAATTGATTTCATGATGAAATCGCACAGAATCTACTCATACATCACATCCCGGAAAGTCTACTTATCCCTAATGAGATTGAAGACAATTGTTTACATCATATTCCTGTTTATATTATTTCATGTTTGTGTTGTAATTGCTGGAAATTTTCATAAATTTGTCTATTTATTGAATCGATTAGAAAATAATATTGCTATGAATCAGAATAATAACCAAACTGCGATATAAATGTTAACATGGTCTGATCTTGCTTATTACATTGCACAAATATGTATTGCATCAAATGCTTTATACAATTATGAGTACTATAATGATTAAGACAATAATAAGTTTTGTCATTAAAAAAATATGTAAAAATTATTTTATTAAGTCATTGATAATGAATAAAATCAACAAAAATATGTGGAGTGTTCTTGATAATAAATAATGATGAATATTACAGGCAATGTTTCAATTACAACCTAAAGTTACATATGACTTGCGAGTAAATTACGATATAATTTATGTAATTTACATAAGCTTTTACTTCAAATAATAACAAATCAATAAGGTCATTTCCATATTTAGCTACAGTAATGACTAGCTATTAATCACAAATTATTTATAGTAATCTATTAAAACTATTGCTATTGAATACTAATTTTTAATCTAATTTTATTATTAAAAACAATACAATTTGATCATAATAAACAGGCAATTATAGATTAGTGACGTCTAGACTGATATACTGTGTCTGAAAATAGTATAAAAATGACACCAAAATACAAATCAGTAGTTGGTTTATTGGTAAATCATTTTAAAATAGCCTAGCAATTTAATAGTTACTAAAAATGTGCGCAAAAGTGACAGTTCTTGACGAGCAAAACGACATCAAACAGTACACTATCCAGAATGCAAAGGGGGAACTGGTGGTCAAAATTCTGGACTACGGAGCTATCATCACAAACGTGTTGTTTGCGGACAAGAATAAGAAACAACTGGATCTGGTCTTAGGGTACGACACGTTTGCTGGCTATCAGAGCAAAGAGAACCCACACTTCGGGGCACTGGTAGGCCGGGTGGCCAATAGGATAGCGTTCGGTAAGTTTGAGTTGAATGACACGAAATATCAGTTGGCTTTGAATGACCCCCCGAGACATAACACACTTCACGGCGGACTCATTGGCTTTGATAAGGATATGTGGGCTCTCAAGACATCCTCACCAGACTCTATCACTCTGGAACTGATCAGCAAAGATGGCGATCAAGACTTTCCCGGAGATGTCAGGTCTGTCCACAGAATTATATAATTTAATAATAATGTTTAAAAAGTATTTTATTGACAACATTTGAAACTTAACATTTAAACTAGTGTTAATTTAAAATTAGTGAAAGACTTAATGTCTGCTTAATATAAATTGTTATTTTATCTGTTATTTATCATTTATATTGATATAATTTGTGGGAATAAATTTTATTTGAAAAGTTAAAACATATGATTAGGTTTAGATTATTATAAATTCATTGCTACTGTATTTTAGGACAAAATTTAGAAATAACACCAATGTTATGTCTTATC